TTTCTGCAGTGTCAATCTAATATTACATAATTAAGCTTCATAATTGCTGTGATGAGATATCTCTTAGCGACGAGGTATTCTTACGAAGAATGTACACGGCGGCATGTCGAAAAGATTAACATCACTGAGCACACACAAATAAGCCTCTCTCCGGGCAATTAACTGTATAAATATATACCGGCAACTCAGATCATACGCTGAAGAACTCTTTTCCAATTTCTCCGTCACACTATTCCCAGAGGACAAATGCTTTTGTTCCAGTCGTGGAGATTATAACCGTTTTAGCATACAATTTCGCCTTGACCTAATTCCATCCCTCCTTGGACTCTTTTTCATGGCATCAAGAATGAAATAAACAAATATCCTGGCGTGAATCGCGGAACTTCACAAGTGTTTCATTGTACATAGTCCAAGGTCAATATGGGCGCTAGCTTCAAAAAGCACTTTGACATGCTTTATAATTTCCAATTTCTTCCTATTACTTCTCTTTCATTTTCAACTGTTCCTGTTAGGACATTTTCGATTAATCCTGTTAGGAGGAGTGGGTTTTGAACCAAAACTTTTAAATACGATGATCAGGTCCGAGTTCCACTGACCATCGATAACGCGAACTGATGGACGAGAAGGCGCAAGTCGAGAAGTTAGCAAACTAAGGTTGACTTGACATGGTCTGGTCAAACGAAGAAGAACTCCCTTCAACCACTCTTAAAACTGATTTGAGCAGGTTCAAATTCGAAGAGAGCTCTCGAGCTCAAGACCATGCCTGCACGAAAAAGGGGAAATAAGATTTTTTCTTGTTTTCTTTCTTTCTTTCTTTCTTTCTTTCTTTCTTTCTTTCTTTCTTTCTTTCTTTCTTTCTTTCTTTCTTTTAACAAAATACCTCATTACTTCTGAACAGTCATCCTGGATTTCAAGATTTATAAACAAAAAAATAACGAGAGTATCTAAGAAGTAGTTTTAAAGGTGTAAGTAACATTCTCGTTAAATTCAGGGAAATCAGCGAAATTTGAAAAACATGCCTCTCTGAAATACGGTTGCCATAGAAACATTACGATCGTTGATTCAACCAGGCTCTTGCTGAAATTTCTCGAACAATTATATGTCAGGAATGGTCACTAAATTTTGGAGTTCGTCGCTTCAGTTACAACGGTTCAAAGTTGGTGGGTACCTCGAAAGTTCCTTTCCCGGTCCAGCCTTAGGTCTCGCATAGGGTTGAAAAGTCACGTGCATTAACCGACCAGAAAAACCTTTTCACCTTTGCTTACAGGCCTAACAGGTCATTCGCACATTAATTGTAGAATTTTGCAAAACTATAGTCCCAGCTAGTACATACAGTGATCGCATAAAAGTCGTTTTCTGTAACGCCTCTCTAACATTACAAGAGGTTTTGTGTCTTAGATAATGTAAGGCCGGTCGTCTTCTGTAAACAGAAGAAAACAAAAAAAAACCTAAAATGGGACGAAAAACCACTATCTTTTTAACGAAAAAACCATGGAAATCAACTCTGCCGTGAAATCTTCGTTTCAACCTCAACAGGGAACTACCGAAATCGAACTCTTGGGTCGGTTAAGGCTAGCTGCTTAAAAGTTTGCTTTTGCCATAGGTTTCTTTTTCTTTCTGGCTTTAGCTATATATTTTTTACCTTAAAGCCAGCGTCTGCCAGGGTTGGTAGATAGGAGTTACACGAAAGTTTGATCTTCAACTTTATATCATCCGGGTGCGGCTTGAGTAGTTAGAAGGAGTTGTCATTGTCTGCCTTTTAAACGAGCGAAAACCACGGTCGACTCTTAAAATTTGAGTGGGTTCAAATCTCAAGGAAGGGCTTGAAGCTCAAGAGGGAGAACGAGTCTTAGAAAGCGATTTAAGGGTTACAGGTCTTAAAAGATATTTCTCTTAGCGACGGTGACGAGGTGTTCTTTCGAAGAATGTTATTTTCATAATCTGATCAAAAAAGTGATTTGAACTCTTTAAAAACAGGTTGTCCAAAAACTTGACCCGAAACGAGATGCCATTCACCTTTCAGCTCGTGGGCTTAATGGTTCAAAGAGATGCTGCAAAACCAATTTGGACTGAATAGATGTTTCTTAAAACAAGCCTTTCGAACCTTGGAAACTTTGTATTTTCTACGATTAGCTACCGTTCAATAAATCCGGTCCTCTTTTGATGAGCTCGAGCTGAACAATCAAGGAAAAAGGCACAGAAAACTGGATTGAAATATACGTACCTTTCGCTGAAGAAGCAACGGGAATGGAATCAACTCAGATCAGCAGTGATCGCCTGGAATCAATTTGACCTCGGAACTTTCGAAGTCATGACTTAAATATTGCTCTGTTTAATAACTTTATTAGCATTGGCTTTGACAAATATTTTCTTAAATAGACAACCAAATTCTTGAATAGCCATTTTACTGACGACGATGCCTTTTCAAGTTTGGCTGCGAAGAAATTTGGAAGAGAATGGATCTGTGTCGGGAACTTATTATTCCTCCAGGATCGTACATGATTTCCAAATCGCGAGTACTCAAAATTCTTGATTACACGGTACTAAAGCATTGCGAGTGAGTACATAAACGTCCGAAAGATTGCACAACACGTTAATAAACTTCGAATTAATCATGAAACCCGATTGGCTACAATCGATTGCACGGCAACGGGGCTTTCGTGCAACAAGCGGTCGACCAATCACAATAGGTTTTCAGGTGTCAAGGACAAACAAACATACGTACTTTAATTTAACAACTTCAGTTCCCTATTACGGGGAAATTTTTTTTCTTAATAATGCCCACGTGCTGATATAGAGTTTTCTTTTTTTATGCAAAGTAGTTTATGACAACTGCTTGAACTAAAACCTCCTATCGGCATTGCTGTAGTTCGTTTTAACCGAGATTCGCTAGTGGTCATCACAGCTAGTCATTACGTAATTTGTAATGAGCTAACTTCCACTGTATTTGACTCCCTTTCGTCTTAGTTAAACATGTGCCTGGGAAACGACACTTTTAAACAAAGAAATATCAAGTCATTGATTAATTTAGCTTGTTACAAACTACTGAGCAATTTTCAACTTCTCAAATCAACTATTTCAATTGGAATAGAAAAAAAAATGGCGCAGTGATTTAATAATAAGCCCCTTGGACTCCGGGATACGAGCGCTGACCGAAAAGTATATATGTGTTATACTATTGGGAAAGACACCTTACTCTTGCAGTATCTCTCTCCTGTTCTCCGAAATCCATGTATTGTTACATAATTCCTGGGTAGTTAAAGCAAATTCACAAAATGCTCAGGTAAGGAATAGGGAGGTTGAGGGAAGCTCACGATAAACTAGCATTTTATCTCTTATTTAACAAGTGTCATTACTTTTCTGTCAACGACGTTTTCGTTCACATGAGAAAAACTACTACATTGTCAATGTGATATTTTCACAAGTAAGCTTCATAATTACGGTGATGAGATATCTCTTAGTGACGAGGTGCTCTTACGAAGAATGTATACAGCGGCACTGAGCACACACAAATAAGCCTTACTCCAGGAAAATGTACAATTTGTTAGCGACAATTCAAATCGTACGCTGAAAATGTCTGTTCCTTCGTAACACTTTTCTGAGAAGAAGACAAAACGCCTTTTTCTCCATTTCAGTATACAATTTTGCCATAGAACTCAATTGGAACTCTTTTCCGACTCTTTTACATCTCATCATGAATAGAATAAACAAATATCTTGGCGTGAATCGCGGCACTTTGACGTTGCCGGCAGGACAAATAAATGGAATTGACTAGTTTTACATTCCGCAGACTCCAACGGCGGTGACTTCAAAAAGTACTTTCATTGCTATCATAATCTTACTTATAACAACTTCACGAAATTAAATGAGCTGAATCCTTTCTACGTGTCTTTTTTTTTTTTCTTTTTTCATGTCTTATATTTTTGTTGAGAGAAGGGGAAATTTAAGCCAATAATGTTGGGTGAGGCCCCGTCCACACCAGGCCTAGGCTCGATTTCCGCCGCTTTCTCGAGTCCGGTCTACGTTCCTCCCCGAGAGGAGACGTAATCGAGCCTACACCACGCCAGAGAAATTTGAAAACGCAGCAATTAGTATATTCATTCTGGATTTGTATTTTAGGAAACCTCGGGACTGAGGGAGATCACACATGATAATCGTGATGCCATCGTTCTCAAAAAGCTCAGCTTTCAAAATGTTTTCCGTCCACATTAAAAGCAAATGAAAGCCGGCTTTTTCAAATTCCTCCTGTTTGAAGAACGTTCTCGAAATGCTTAGTTTTGGTGACAAATTAGAGTGGACGCTAGGCCTGAACCGTAGAAATAATAAAGCTGCGTTGTCAAATTTTTCTCCAACGTAGTGTAGAAGGGATATAAGGCGGTCAGGTCATTTGCCTTATCATCAAAAACTCGAGTTGATAAATGAGAATGCAAATTGAGTAATACGCCAACTAGAGCTGACATGGTCTGCCTGTCAAATGAACAAGATCTCTCCTCCACTCTTAGAACGTATTTCTGAAGGTTAAAAATTCAAAGAGATGGAAATGAATAGTTCTTCTGTTCTTTCTTTTTCTGTTTTGTTTTGATATTCATGCATTGTCAAGTGAGAAGTGAGAGTTGATGGCTGAGCGAGTGCAAAAGATTGAAGGGCTAAGTGTCTTTTACGGCCGTCTCAGCGTCAATAAAGCTATTTGAAGTTCTTAGTTCTGTTCAGACCGGGATTTTTTTTCTTGTCTTTTGTGACGGGGGAGGCCCACACGATCCACAGCACGTCAACTTCAAAAGACGGAGAAAAGGACGGTCCTATTTATGAAAAACAGCTTCCACCTTAGACATACTATCTTGAACTAATTTAGATAAAAAGAATGAAAACCGCCTAAAGAGTGGAAAGCTGTAAATGTAAGTACTGTTATTTCAGCGTGCAAAGAGAATTTTCATCTTGTTACGAATGCATGATTTTCCTTTCTTTTCCTCGCGGTAATTTCCGGCTAAAAGATAAGGGGAGCATTTTATCCGTGTTTCTATCGAGTTTTAGTACAAATCTACTAGGTTCTATCACGAATGCCGTTCGCTGATTGGTTACGCTACTCACTATCTATTCTGTGATAGATATGAGTAGCGTAGCAGTGTGCGCTTGTTAACGAAGTGGCGGCCGCTTCTTGGCGTTTTCGAAGTGTCTGTGAAGAGGATTTAGATAAAGTTTTGAACGACTAATAAATTTATACTAAAACAATTAGATTATTCGCCCTCGATTTCCATGCGTGGTAGCTGGCTCGGGCTGCGCCCTCGTCAACTATCACGCGATAGAAATCTCGAGCTCATAATCTAATTGCGTAGTAGATAGTGTGGTTGTAAACAACAGTGGCGGTCGCCTCTTCGCGTTTTTGAAGTGTCTGTGAAGAGGATTTGCCGAGATTTAGATAAAGTTTTGAAGGACTTGTAGATTCATACTTAGACAATTAGATTATTCGCTCTCAATTTCTATGCGTGATAGGAAAGGAGGAAAACGAGGAAAAAGTTCAGGACATAGTTCATAGGAACACTCGACAAAGTTTGGGAGAACTCGAAAAAGCTGCAGAAAACTCAGCTCGCCTGCGGTTCGAATTCCTCAACATTTACTCGTTCTGTTAAAATTCCATAAAAAGAGATGGCACTGAAGAGGCAGGGTATTAGGATTTCGCTTATTTTTTATTTATTTATTTTTTTATGCTATTTATAAATATGTCTACAAACTATCAATGCATAAGGCAAGGAAGCCCAGGGAAGCCTATCAGGTTTATGTAAAGGATCCGAACTACCTTAAAGACACCTAAGACTAAACAAAACAATAAAAAATGCTGTCATCGGCACACAATTGATATGAAGTTACTTTTTTTACCCTGGATGTATTGTGCGCTGCTACATCATCTTGCAAGCCCAAGGCACTAACCTCCATTTTCCACATTATAATCTTGATACAAATACTCGCTATTAAAGGGGAAGAGAATATGTTTCAACTCAAAAAACAGGGGAAGATTGTGGATCAATCAAAGGATCGGCCATCGGTCGCACACTGACCATGCACGATGAAGGTGGGTTATCGCTTTGCGATATTCTTTACGATTGTTCTTACTAGCGATTGAGAGTGTATGTAGCTACACCTCGTAAAACGGACTGAAATGGTCTTGATGACTATCACACTGCCTTTTTGAATCAACTTGAACAAGACGAAAGGGCTCTCACTGACACGGATACGGTCGCTTGTGATAGCAAACGTAAGACTCAGATGAGCTACATCAGGGGGGTAAATCCGCTTGCGACACTTGCTGCAGCTCCATTATCTGTACAGGTGTAGTGTTTCGGTTTCCATCCTGAACTCCAGTGATGCCTGGACTAACGTCGGTTACGTTGTTTCTGCATGCACCAACACAGCATATCAGCTCCTTGATGTGCTGTCTAAAGCGCTGGTTCACGAGGGCATATATGAAGGGGTTAATGGCGGAGTTAAGGGTGACCAGGGCAACTGACAGTATGTGTAGTACGTCACTGTAGACTTGTGAAGGACTGAAGTAACTCACCATGTACATTGTCAAAGCAGGAAGACGGCACAATACAAAGGTAACGCTCACAGTTACAACCATCTTGGTGACCCTCCGTCGGATTTTTAGCACTGCCTAAAACAGAATGAAAACATTATTACTATCTTATATGAGGACATGGCATGAAAAGCTACATAATACTTTAATACTTAGAGCAAATAATTTCGGAGCGATCCGTACTTGGGGTCCGGATGGGAAAATTAGGACTGCCCAGAGCGCGCACGATGGGCCAATCAGATTTAAGGATTCAGGATTCCCGACAGCTGAGAACTCTAGAAAATATCGAATGATTTTTGTTCTCAGCCGAATACGAGGAAGAAACCATTTATTCTTCACTTACCAAGTGTAACAACCGGCAGACCTTATAATACAGAAAGAGCTTTCTCAACCAAGCAAACCGATCTGGAAAAGTTCTGCTGAGGCAATCTACATCGGGAAACGAAAGGCATGATCACATTCTTCGTAGCCTCTGCAGCTGGTAGGATTTCTTGGAGTGGTGGTAAAATTTGGGCGGCGGTAGAGCTTCTTGGCCGCCGAGAGCTCGTGAATGAGGAAATCCAGCAAAATCTTGAAATCCGAACTAAAATGTTCTCCTGTGTAGCCATGGCTAAGTGTCGCAAGAGTCAAATGACGACTCAGTGGAACTTATGCTTACCTGTCGAACATTGTCACTACTATCCTCGTTCTGAAACCAAAGAGCATTGACGACTCTTGAATACAGGACGGTCATCAGGACGATTGGGATTACTCCAGTCACCAAAAACCATACGATGGTGTTGGCTTTAACCATCCATTTCTGAGGCCAGTACTGCATGCAGAAGTCACTCTGTTTGCTGTAATAGATGGTCAACAGAAGAGGCAGATTGAACAAAATCGCGACGAGCCAAATCACAGGAACGATTATCTGTAATGACATGAAGTATTGAGATTAGTTAGCATCAACTATTATTTAAAAGTGGAGGCGCGGTGGCCTCATGGTTAGTGAGCTCGACTCCGGATCGAGCGGTCCGGGTTTGAGCCATGGCCGGGGACCCATTGTGTTGTGTTCTTGGGTAAGACACTTTACTCTCACAGTGCCTCTGTCCACCCAGGTGTATAAATGGGTACCGGCGAATTTAATGCTGGAGGGGTGTAACCCTGCGATGGACTAGCAACCCATCCAGGGGGGTGTAGAAACACTCCCAGTCACTTCATACTACTGAAACCAAGATAAGCTCCGGCCTGATGGGCCACTTGGCTCGTATGCTGATATATTATTTGAAAACAAATAACGGTATTAAAGCATGCTTTCATAGAACCATTAAGGTGTGAAAGAGGCCACTAAAATGAAACACAGATTTGAACTGCGGGAGATATATATTTTAAAGAGATGAAAGACAACCATTATTTAAAGGTAAATTTACATATTCATCAAAATATTTTTTCAGAAAAGTACAGACAAAGGTGATGATGTGGAGGGTTTGGGGAGAAATTTACCGAGGTAAAAACTAGTATGGTTAATCAAATGGTGACGAGTGAAATCACGGAATAATTTTACGCGCGTTTTGTCAAAATTCTTATAATAATTTGAATTTTGACAAAACGTATAAAGTGAAATTATTTCCTAATTTTACGAGTATTCCATTTGATTCCCTTTGAATATCATGGCTGACAAATAACCCTAACAATCATGGGATTTTGATTCGTTTATTGTGTCAGCAAACTTTGCCATGGCAATTTTGTAATTTCAAGTGTGAAATTATAAATTAGGTAACGCTGAAATTTCGCGCCAAAATTAAGGAGTAATTTGTCATCCATGATATTTATGAACACATTTCCTTTGCAATCAAGGAGAGATTTCAGACTTTTTGGGGGGGGGGGAACCGACGCTGGTATTACCCGGGGGGTACTCCCTTATATAGGCTATATAGGGGTGTGCGCGGCCCTAAAGGGTATGGTTTTTCAGCCGTTTTGGTCATGAATAGGGTAAGGGTTTTGGGAAGCGGGCTGCGCACCACCAACCAATTTTTCTGGGAGTATATTCTCCCGGTCTATATGTGCGTTCTTGAAGGGACATCTGCAGTCTCCTTTGCCGCTCACCTCAACCTTTGTAGCCGTTAACTGCCCTTGGTTTGAGTGCGAGTTTATGACCGCATGATATCGTTCAATAGCGACAACAACCAGTGTAAAGGCAGTGGCGACTGATCCAATCCAAATGAGATTACCGCCAGTCAACAGTTTACACAGAACTGTGCCCGTCATTCCGTCTGGATGGTTGAAAATGTGGACAAAGATGAACCGTGGGACTATGAACAACGCTACCATGATGTCTGCTACTGCCAGATTCAAGATTAAGTAATTCATGGGAATTCTGAAAACGGTTCAATACGTGGTATGGTTAGTTCTGAGTTGTGGAAATAGAACTTAACATTTTAAGTTTCAAGTTGGCTGAGGCAGCAGTCTTTCATTGGTAAAATCTCGACGACATATCGAAGAAGAATAATTTCCGAGCATTATAAATAGCACTTTTTAACAAATTATCTAAAAGTAGTCACCGGGCGATGTCAGTTTCAAGTTCAATCCGTTTCAATATGTACTCCAAATTTGCCTATCCATATCACTTTTTGTTTTGCATGCGTTTTGCTTACTTGTTTCTGTGTTTGTATGCTCCTTTTGAATTCTTCTGCAGTTTTAACCCCGGCCTTGGTTTTAATCCCTTATTGTAACATTCCAGTTAATTCTATGGTCAGTTAATAATCTAATTTTGTTAAACATGATGCAAGTGCACTGAAGGGGTGCTTCGAGGCGATATAATGGGTTATATATTCCCAAAGTTATGGTGAAACGTTCATAGGCTGCTATAAAGACCTTGACTCATTTCACTCCCTAAAGACCTGCAAACTAGTAATAAGCTATTAATCGATTCCAAGATATGCAATCAAAGGCAGAATAGCTTGAGCACATCGATTCGATTGAATTTCGTACGACTTCAAATGCAGAACATTTGGCTCAATTGCAATATAGCTAGTGCTTCTCAGTATAACGACTGCCTGGGTACACGCAGCAAGCGTCTAGTTAAAATTGAAATATTGCGTCGTATTGCCCCTTGAATTGTTATACTAAAATACTATTTCATATTTCACATTTGTCGTGTCCATGGCCAACAAATTTGACGACACACATTCCCTTACACTCTTTCTTTTTTATAGAAATGTATTTTACAAGAATATCGAGGCTTAAATTTGCGAAATTTTAAGATTATTTCAAGAATATACCCGAGGCTGAGATTTGGAAAAAAATATAATTTTGTTTGTTGAAAATTTGTAAATACAATACAGTACTAAAAGTGAAGAATGATCATCTCAGTAAATTTTCCAATTTAAGCATTTGGAAGGAAGAAGCCTGAAAAAAACATCAGGGCTTCATTTCACTCCTCAGGGGAAGACATCTAATGTGTGACTTCATAACTCCGTTGGTAGAGCATCGCACCGGTATTCGCGGAGGTCACGGGTTCGAATCCCTCTGTTTTTTTGTTTTTTGTTTTTTGTTTTGTTTTTGTTTTTTTTCCTTTCTTTCTGGCTTCTTCATTCCAGTTACTTAAATTGGAAAATTTACTGCGATGATCATTCTTCACTTTCATCCACAACTGCGGTTCAAATATGAATTATTCCATACATACTTCACATCACAATACATTACTGTTATATGTTTTTAACTAAATCGTATAAAATTCTTCCTTTCTTTAAAAGGCAAAACTGGCAAAAAAAGTAACAAAAACAGCATGATCCGCATGTTCAATGCCAATAGCACTTCAGCAAGAAGTTGTGTGCGTCCTATCAGGTTTTAATGCTTTTAGGCTGGTTCCAAAATTACCACTATCCAGACAACAAATACATTCGAAAACGGAAATGTCATACGCTATAATCTAAGAATATTCACAAGAATATTTTCAGCCTAAAACCGGTAAAAAAAATAAGAATATTCAGCCTCGACCGGAAAAACAATATACCTATAAAAATAGAATGTATCAGACGGATAAGCATCATGCAAGCCCTCCACCCCTTATCGTAATGATTATTTTGTTTAATAAATGCTTCCCCTGTTACCAACCTCATGTCTTTGAATTTAATTATCAGCAGGCATACAATCGCATTACCAGCAATGTCTGTGATTGTGAGCACTGAGAACATAGCAGTGAGACCGATTTGAGCGGCCTTTGTCTCCGTAGAATACCACATGACTCGTGCGTCTTTTACCTAAAACGTTGTGAAAATAAAACTTATGTTAAACGAAGAGATTTCTTTCTGGCAGACGTTATCTCGAAGATGCACAGACAGTTGGTCTAAGTCGATGTGTTATCTGTCAAGTTAAATACAGAAAGAAAGACAGGGGCGGACTCATCGTTTTACGGAAATCGGTAATTTTTTTCAGAATGTTTCATAAACCCAGGAAAGGCGACAGTAAGGGTGTTAAAATCCAAAAGATTTTCTGGGGAGCATGCCCATTTATCATTTATCACCGTTTATCGTAGATCCGCCCCTGCAAGGCGAATTAAACCTCTTTTTGAAACCGAGCCGTCCTGGTGCAGAACCTTTCATATGGAAATGTGTTTGATTTGCAAGACAAAGGTTGTGTGCATGCACCAAGACTCGTTTTGAAACAGAGGTAACAGCAACTCTGTAATGTCTTATTCTACGCTTCCCAGGTCAGAGAAGACCCATAAAACAGATGCGCTTTTCGAGTCAGGAAGATGTTGAGTTAAGATTATATAGAATACGCAAAACAGACCAAGCCATCGAAACGTTAAGTTCCTCTACAAGTCCATATGCGGCATCAAAGTAATGAGACAAACTAAAATACTTACCTCAGGCTCTTCGTGATTTTTAAGTGTCTGGCAGAGAATGTTTGAATTAAATTTTGATTAAGCAGCCGCACTTAATTATCAGACGTTCATGGTCAAAAAGGGTAAGGATAGATGAAACCTTCTGAGATTTAAGTGGGTGTTACATTTTGATGTGAGTTCTATTTGGACATTTCGATTTGACTTCTGTTTATCAAAATTTTTAATTACGATAAAAATTTTCGCTGGCTAAAAATTTCAAAAAGAACATGAGCTTTCGGCTGTCAATCTACAGCCTTCGACGGATAAAAATGGAATGCAGAATGATAAAATATATGCAAGAAAAGGCGAGATAAAAATAATAAGAAGAACAAAAGCAAAGTAAAAATGTGTAAATTAGGTGACTATTATATTGTTTAAAAGAATACTATACTGGTTTGGGATCGGCTTAGAATTATTATCAGCATGCTTAGTAGCAGAGGTGTGCCAAGCGTCCAAAGTTTTTCAAATGCGAAAAGAACCTTTGTCGATGACACTCGAATTATCACGTTTTGTTAAATAAGGTTAGCCTATAATTTAATCGCTGGGAATACTGCTACTTTTTATTCGCTTCTTCGCTTAGCTTACAATTTTTTTATTTGTGGAACAAGTTTGTAATGGTCCATAAGATAAAACTGAACAAAAAAATTAAAATCCAAGATGGTTGATTGAAAATGCGGGGTGGATTTAACGACGACATACGACGTCTTGAACAAAGCAAAATTATCTCATATTGTGAAAAAAGTTTCAAGATCTCCGATTAAGTAAAGATTTCTTTGAAGACGTCTTGTAATAATCAACAGCCCTTTTTTCTGCTCTATTTGGACATGGATGCGTAACTTGCCTGTAAGTCAGTTGGTCCCATTGCAGAGCTAGACTTGCAGATGAAAATTTCTAATTAAGTTGCGTCAAAATTGCGATAAGAACCATAACTCGAAATGAGTAAAATGCTGCTTCCTGTCGTACTTCACTTTTTATTACACTTTATTTCTAGACTGATTTTTTTTTATCGACAAATGAATCAAGTCAAGGTGCGACCACGATGCCACGATAGCAGATGAAGCGAACCTCTGCGATATCGTAATGATCATAACCATCTAGTCATGAAAATAGATGGAACTGAGGAGCGAGAGTGTCTTACTTCTCAAAATAGCTTATAGAAAACAAACCAATCCCGTCAACTATCAGATAGGGCCTTACAAGCAATGCATATCGTAAAAAATTAACACTGAAATCGTTTATCAATAGTGTGGTTTGCTCTGGTCCTGCCCAAGTCATCTCGGGATTGGAATAAGACGTTAATGTAAAGAAAGAAACTGAAGATTTGTTCGTGTCATAGAGCAAACACTGAACATGCACTGATTTGACCTACCTTCGAAACAGTTGCGTGATAAAGTTTTTTAGTCTTGACCAAATAACAGGAAGTTGCAACAGACAATGAAAACTAGACACGTTTAACAACAATTTCCCGAAATTTACCACTTGAGTTGAGTTTCTAGTCCATTTGGCCTTCAATTCATAGTGATATTTAGTGGGCGAGAAAAGCTTAAACCACGATATACTCAGATCAAAACCATCCACAAAACAGGTAACTTTTTGATTTCCATCCTTTAATCAGTCTAGCAGCAGCACTTAAGAATCATCACGACCTATTTGTGGAGATTGACGTTCACAATAGCTTTCGCGGATTTTGTTTTATTACTCTCCAAAGGTGATATAGTTTTCTCTTTGACACTGTATAGAAACACATATAGAAGCTGGGAAAACGGTGTCTTATTTGTTCATTCATTCTGTTCGAGAGAGCAGTTAAGTGTGCAATAAAAGGTAAGTAGCAACGGGTAAAGTCACCCAAGAGATTCAATTATATCAAACCTCTTGCTACCGTACTTAACATTACCTTTACGTGAGGAAGCAAATAAGACAGGAAATTAAAAGAAATATCTTAATGATAAGTCGGCGAGATTAGGTTTTTCGGCAAAAAAGTGCAATAACACCGAAGCTTTGATTTCAGTGGAGCTACTCGAGAGGAAAACATTGCCTTTTCTTTCTAAAGAGAAAACTTGAAAAAACAGCGAGTGTAAAGCTTACTTACTTACTATCAGTTCACTTTTCTGATAAGCTAGGGGTTGCGGGTAGTTGGACCTTTCAGATCTAACCCAGTACCTAATTGATGAACTTTTAGTATGAATTTGTGGATTCAAAATGAACCCAGGTTTTTGCAATTTTGCGACAAAATTCAATTAAAGAGCGTGGAGTATCACGGCGAAAAAAATTGCCAAAAAGCTTAGTCTCCTTACAACCAATTGTATAACCACGAACATTATGTGTATTACCTTTATTTTCGCTTTTTTAAAAGTGAATACATTTTTCTGCTGACATTTAACATTAACAACAGCATTTTCAACACGATTATAACCTTACAGATTACAGAATTTTCTTCACTAATCTGTCAACAGTAGTACCATGAACGTGACCTTGGAAAGTCAAACGATATTGAATGGACCTTCTTGACCATGTCAGGCGTTTCAATTTTTTTTATAATGGCCAGCTTTATAACGAAATGTACGCAAGGAAGCGAGCGTTGCCCCCCGACATACATTTCTTTGAAAAAATTGGCCATTTTGGAGTTCCATATTTACATGCGTGTGCAACAGATTCTTATGAAATTTCGTTATTCACTAAACTCAGCATGATGAATTGATCTTTGGTGCTATTTTTTTGTTTATACTTTGTGAAAACTAAGAAAAAGTGAAACTACGCGATATTGTCAAAATAGCCCATTGAAAAAGTCCAGCAGGCCTTGTCAAATGGTTTCGTGTTGCCTTGTAAACATACATTTCTTTGTAAAAATTGGCCATTTTGGGGTCCCATATTTACATGCGTTTCCACCAGATTCTTATGAAATTTCGAATATTCACTAAACTCAGCATGATGAATTGATCTTTGGTGTTGTTTTTTTGTTTATACTTTGTGAAAACTAAAATAGGCCAAAATAGGTCAAATTAGGCCATTGAAAAAGTCCAGCAGGCTTTTTCAAATGGTTTCGTGTTGCCTCGTAAACATCGCTGAAAATTACTTAGAATTTTCTCTCCCAACAACAATTCATTTGTTATCTTTGTGTTGGCGTTCAAGGAGGATCTTGGGCACAGCCAAACGTACTCAGTCAAAAAAAAGCTTTTCACGGCTTCTGACGCCATCTTGCTTGGGGGCCAACACGGCAAAAAGTATAGTAAATGTATGGGGAAAATGGAGAAACTAATGTCTAACAACTTACGGAAAATTCTTGTTCTGAAGTATTCACGAATTAAGCACTAAAGATACTAGGTAAACGAATTTTCAGTTCACATCTGAAGGAAATCGAGAAAAATCACCTTGCTAGAAAAGCCACATCTAAGGTTTTAATTTTTCCATACATGTGTCTCTAAAACCGAGTCGTAATTCGAAAACTACAGACACTTGTATGAGAAATTAAAAGTGCAATTCCTCGCTTCACAGCAAGTCTATGTTCTTCCAATTTGGTCAACAAAGCATTTCGTAGGATATCGTTTCCTTGCAACCCATTAAATACTCAGAACTTCAGTCACTCTCGAGTTAATGTTAACTTTTCTAATACATTTACTGCAATTTTTGCTGTGTTTGCCCCCCAAGCAAGATGGCATCAAAAACCATTAAAAGGTCTATTCAGGCACCGCTTGGAAAGATTTGATCAGTGTGGCTACCGTATGTCCATCAACAGCAAACGCTTAATCGGCAGCCGGCGGCAGTATTCTATGAAAGGCTGACCGCAGCTTTTTGGCTGCTAGGACTGAGTTTCATTATTGCAAATCAATTTTATGCTCAGGACAGGTCCTTTCTGAAGTTTTACAGGAAAACTAATCGACTTACATTCTAAGAATTGGCAGAACTTATATTACTGCCAATCAATTTTATGTTAAGGATATATCCCTTCTGAAATTTTACATCATGGAAACCAATCGACTTGCATACTAGAAAAGTCAAACATTTAAGAACACTTCATCGCAATCTTACTGGTAGCATAAATAGCCTGCTATCACACATATCTGATAAATATACTTCTTGTTTCATTCTTTGTTGAGCCTCAAATCATTTTGAAATAAAAAATGTTCATGTGTACCGGCTTGGAGTTTTTCCAGGTCGCTGTTTTCTGATCAGCCTTATTGTTCCTGTTTATTCTTTTTTAATCTTTTGACATATGTTCCTTTGAGAGAAAGTCCCCAATCTCTTATCTTATTATCTTTAGTGGTCTCTCAAGATGATATATAGCTTTTCATCCCGTCATATTTTTATTGTTGCAGTACAAACCAGAAGAAGACAATTTGAAAGCTTCTCAGTTTAATTACGAGTAATTTTATTATTCTCATGGCATTTCATCATTTCACAGAAAAGGTACATAAATTATTTTCTCAGCTCTTCTCAGCCTAACTGTCATAAATGGTCTTAAAACTGAGAGCCAATACATATATGTATATAAGTCATAAATATGATACTTCGCGAAAGTACCCAATTTCCCAAACATCATCACAAACCTCTAGATCTTAAGCATTTCTGATGCTAAATTTGTAACATAATTCGAATTCGTTTCCTCGGTTTTGAGTAAACAACACTTCGTATATCACCGGTCTTAATTCTGTTTACAATATAGCTTTTCATAACAGTGATAGTGTTGCGGATCAGCTACGAAAACGCATCAGAGCGCTAGCCCTGTGCCTTTTACCATGCTATTAAAAAATACAAAAAATGCATTGAAATGCAAATTTCAATGTGCATCAGTGTGCAAATTTCAGTGGTCGTTCTCGTTATGTCGTTCTCGTTATGAACATATATTTAGTCAACTACCCGCGGGCATTGTCAGCAATAACAAATATCAGTGAAAACCAATGTTATTAACAGATAACAAATTTTTTTGTGTGATTCGTTTCCAGTTTTGAAATTCAATTTAACAATTTCCTGAAAAGCTTCATCTCAATTTCCACCCGTGGTATTGATAACAACAGGACATTACTGATCAATTTTTACTCACTCTTACAGGCAAACTTAGTGAGCGTTAAAAGTACTTCATTTCTAATTTCTTTTATGCGCCAACAGTACAAGAAAGGGTTAAAAGCAGAATTCGCGAATAACACGGTCATCGTGTAACTCAGTGCCAGGATTTTAGTTGAATTTACTTTTGTAGTTTGTATGACAAAAAACATGGCCAAGTATGGCACATAGCAAACAAGCATTAACGCATAAACGCAAAACATATTGGTGACAGATCTTTTGTATACTAACAATGTCCGTGAACCCACGTTATTTTCCCCCTTTGGTGTAATTTCCCCGCCATTCCGTCTTGAAACTGTCTTTTTTCGGAGTTGGCAAAGAGTTACCCAGAGTGTTACGTAGGACACTGAACAAATCAACAAACATACACTGATCACGGTGATATTAAACACTTGGTAAGTTTCCAAATTCCAAATCCAGTTGAACACCCACAGACCCGTAAGCGCCCAGATGGTCAATAAGACTTTTATTACCCTCCTCAGCGATACTGTTGCTTGATATTTGGCTCTAAGAAGAAGGGCAAGAACTCGGTCAATGGCGATGGCTGTCACGGTCAGAAAAGAAACGGCGGAGAACACGTTTGCGGACAAATGAAATCCAATCCCTCCTACACAGTAGAGCAGGTGATTGTTCTTAAGTTCTGCTGTTTTGTACAGAACGTAAAATGGTTGAACAATAAGCCCAACGCCAAAATCAGAGGCAGCCAGACTGTAGAGCAGTGCTCTTGATGGAGGGCGAAGCGCCGCAGATTTCCGAATGGCGTGAAGAATCATCCCGTTCCCAAGAATGGCTGCGATTGCTAGGATGGCATTTAGCGTACAGTTGACGATGTACTCAGTGGTCGGTGGCCCAGCGTGGAAGATCTGAAACCGATCGAGATAATAGCAAGATTCTGGCTGAACACTCAAATTTTTTTCGCTCGTAATGTTCACTGAAATCGTTTCCATTATATAGCTCAAAGTAATCGTCACTGAGCGACGTTTGATCGATTATATTTACTGCCTGATGCGTCAACTAGCGCTTCGAGCTTCGATATGATGTGAAACCGGGCAGCTGTACAATAGTTAAGTTTTTATCTTGTCAAAACGTCGTTGTTCTTCCGATGAGCATTGTCCTTATTTGACCACCTCAAATTTTCAAATTACCTGATTAACATAATACTGAAAAAAGCTATTCTATCAAGCCGTTCCCATAACGCCTAGCTAAGAAAGGTGTTGAATAGTACGTGGGTAAATTTATCGCCTTAATTGAACAATGCCCTCCCACTTCCAAATTACAACCACCTAGCACGTTAGTTAAGGGCATTGTGGTCTTGCTGAGATCGTAAAATTTCGGTCATACACTTAACCAATGGAGAATACAATGAAATGTCTTTAGCCAAAAGTAGTACGCATTCAAATATACGGAAATGCATTTTTTTCAGCTTAAATGTTCATGGATAGACAAAATTTATTGCGTAAAACTAAAGGTTTTAATTTTATTCAAAAGGTTAAACACAAATTATTTAAATTATTATATTGTCATCTAGAAGAAAACATAAAATCATTTAACAATAACATGTGATTTCCAAATAGCTCTGTAGGTTTGCGTGTACCCTTCCCAACCGCGAACTTTCATCTACATCTTGTATAAATTTCGTAATCTACAAATCCATTATTCAAAAGGTTAAAAGCAAATTATTTAAATTATTATATTGTCATCTAGAAGAAAACGTAAAATCATTTAACGATATGTAATTTCGGTATTATGTAATATTTCTTCATCTTTTCCCGCAATCAGTTTCCTACTTCGTAGCAATAAAGCTTCTTTTATAGACCTTACAACATTAAAATGGCCATTAAGATAAGAAAAATGGCTCGTATAAAACGTCTAATGACCCTAGCTATCTGACGTTTAATAGCTGACTACAAACAAATATATGTAAAGCGTTGTCGTTTTATTCTTTCGGCTTGTCTGAGAAAGACAGAAAAAAAAAATTTGGTCTTCTTTTTGCCCCACTTTTATGTCAGTCACTTTCGCACCTTAGTCTCCAACAGAATTTCTAAAGCACGTGATTTCCAAATAGTTCTGTAGGTTTGCGTGTACCCTTCCCAACCGCGAACTTTCATTTACATCCTGTATGCATTTCGTTATTTACAAAGTGATAAACCCATCCCATCGCCGCATATCTCATTATATCCTCGTGATCTCGTTATGCTGCAATAGTGACAATTCCAAATACAAATCCGGGTTCCGAACTGAATCATCAGTAAAAAAAAATAGGGAGACGTGCACGTAAATTTCTAGATGATTCGTTCTCGGAAAGCTAGGTATTACTATTTACAACTTGTCAATGTCAGGAAAAGCAAGTTCAAACAATATAATGCATTGGGTATAATTCCTCAAGTGACATTTTACATGTTTGCTGACGCAATGCAGTAATTTATTCACTTTAAGTCTGGCACGTTTTAATTTGGTTCTGAGAAAAACGAAAAGCTTTGACGATAAAGGTAGTTTTTATTGATAAGTTCAGTTCATTGTGAAACGCATAAGAACTATTCTAGCAAATTACCAAAGAAAAGATACGACTGGAAAAAAAAATTAAACTATTTGTATGNGGCTGTATACAGGTAATGACAGAGGCATAAAATATGTCCACAGGTTGTTTTAACGAAAGTATCTTTCTTTAAATTACAATTTATCAGTAAAAAGAAAAAAAGAAAACTACAAGTCGCTTGAGGTACGTGGTTTTTGTTCTCTTGCTTAGTAGAAATCTGAAGAACTTCGGAATCACTCATAGACTTTTTCGAAAATTATCTAAGAAATATTGAATTTCTTTTAAAACAATCATTGCTTAGATTCATTATCAGCAAAAGGGTGCAGAATCTTTGGCCACATATCTGTTGGTTCGGAAAAATACTGTTTTGCATTAAAATTACAATACCAGTTGACCACTTTAAAACAAGTGTGAGTGGCCTGTGAGAAAATTATTAAAAGCAATCGATGGATTAAAATGCGTCTGTGGCCCGATAAAGTACCTCAAAAGTCGTATCCCTACCAAGTTTGGAACCAATCAGTTGAAGAGTCGCAGAACGCAGGGTATGGAGAAAATGGCTTGTAAAAATCAAACGCTAAATAGAATCTGCGTGGTTCAGCAAGCATCGTAGATGTTTATGACGTAACGAGCTTTGAAAGTTGTACGGCTCGCAGTCAATCGAGTAATTATTCGATCCACAGGTTTATGAAAATTACTTTTCATTACGCTAACGTTTGTTCTCGATTTCTGAAATTTTGTATCTCTAACCTTTTCAAGCCAGGCCCTAAAACTATTAATTCTGATGCATTCTTTTGCCTGACAGACTATGCAGTTCGCCGTAACCTTTTTAAAGGTGTCACGCAATATTAACAAGGTTTCGTATTTTTCAAATAAACCAAATAAACAACAACAACAAAAAAATCACTTCCATTGTACTATTTATCATGCAAAATTTGGTAAATCTACGAAGTTTCATAAGAATTCATTGCAAACTGATAAAAATAAGGATCCCTAAACTTCGCAAAGAAATATATTGTCCCCTGGCATACATTTCTTTGTAAAAATTGGAACCACAAATCTTTACTAAATTCGGCGTGATAAATCCAGCGGTGCGGCTGTTTTTTTAAAAAAAGGGAAAATCGCGATATCGGTAAAAGTTCATTGATTGTTTTCTGTAAAACGCTTGAAGGTGGTCAATTGAATAATCGAATAGCCATGGAAACCGCCAACATAATAATAATATAATATATTGACGAGACAGTAGGAAGTACGAGGCCATTGTTCGAAAGCTAATGAAAGCAGATCTGTGATCTTGTTATTTGTTTTAAACTTTTCATCACGTAATTTCAAAATGCAATTTAGCATTCTCCAGAGTTAGAGCTGCTGGACAAAACAAAAAGAGACAAGATTCTTGAGAATTATAGAAGTAAATTCAATGGCGAATAGCACAATCTTCCCTCCCAATTCTTGAAGTTGAAGATTCTCTACTTTGATCTATTATATCTTCAACTCGAGAAATAAATGAAATGTCTGTCTTCTGTACTGTACTCGCACGTTTTTTTTTAATGTTCCATGCTTTTGTCTCCTTTCTCTTCTTTCGTCCCTCCTCGTCTATTTGTCAACTACTTTTTTCCCGCGATTTAATTTTCATAATAATAATTTAAAGCATTAGAAATAAATAATTTTGTAGAAATTCGGCCATGAAAACAGAAAATAATTGCGGGTTTAATATTTCACAGAAAAGGTACATAAATTATTTTCTCAGCTCTTCTCAGCCTAACTGTCATAAATGGTCTTAAAACTGAGAGCCAATACATATATGTATATAAGTCATAAATATGATACTTCGCGAAAGTACCCAATTTCCCAAACATCATCACAAACCTCTAGATCTTAAGCATTTCTGATGCTAAATTTGTAACATAATTCGAATTCGTTTCCTCGGTTTTGAGTAAACAACACTTCGTATATCACCGGTCTTAATTCTGTTTACAATATAGCTTTTCATAACAGTGATAGTGTTGCGGATCAGCTACGAAAACGCATCAGAGCGCTAGCCCTGTGCCTTTTACCATGCTATTAAAAAATACAAAAAATGCATTGAAATGCAAATTTCAATGTGCATCAGTGTGCAAATTTCAGTGGTCGTTCTCGTTATGTCGTTCTCGTTATGAACATATATTTAGTCAACTACCCGCGGGCATTGTCAGCAATAACAAATATCAGTGAAAACCAATGTTATTAACAGATAACAAATTTTTTTGTGTGATTCGTTTCCAGTTTTGAAATTCAATTTAACAATTTCCTGAAAAGCTTCATCTCAATTTCCACCCGTGGTATTGATAACAACAGGACATTACTGATCAATTTTTACTCACTCTTACAGGCAAACTTAGTGAGCGTTAAAAGTACTTCATTTCTAATTTCTTTTATGCGCCAACAGTACAAGAAAGGGTTAAAAGCAGAATTCGCGAATAACACGGTCATCGTGTAACTCAGTGCCAGGATTTTAGTTGAATTTACTTTTGTAGTTTGTATGACAAAAAACATGGCCAAGTATGGCACATAGCAAACAAGCATTAACGCATAAACGCAAAACATATTGGTGACAGATCTTTTGTATACTAACAATGTCCGTGAACCCACGTTATTTTCCCCCTTTGGTGTAATTTCCCCGCCATTCCGTCTTGAAACTGTCTTTTTTCGGAGTTGGCAAAGAGTTACCCAGAGTGTTACGTAGGACACTGAACAAATCAACAAACATACACTGATCACGGTGATATTAAACACTTGGTAAGTTTCCAAATTCCAAATCCAGTTGAACACCCACAGACCCGTAAGCGCCCAGATGGTCAATAAGACTTTTATTACCCTCCTCAGCGATACTGTTGCTTGATATTTGGCTCTAAGAAGAAGGGCAAGAACTCGGTCAATGGCGATGGCTGTCACGGTCAGAAAAGAAACGGCGGAGAACACGTTTGCGGACAAATGAAATCCAATCCCTCCTACACAGTAGAGCAGGTGATTGTTCTTAAGTTCTGCTGTTTTGTACAGAACGTAAAATGGTTGAACAATAAGCCCAACGCCAAAATCAGAGGCAGCCAGACTGTAGAGCAGTGCTCTTGATGGAGGGCGAAGCGCCGCAGATTTCCGAATGGCGTGAAGAATCATCCCGTTCCCAAGAATGGCTGCGATTGCTAGGATGGCATTTAGCGTACAGTTGACGATGTACTCAGTGGTCGGTGGCCCAGCGTGGAAGATCTGAAACCGATCGAGATAATAGCAAGATTCTGGCTGAACACTCAAATTTTTTTCGCTCGTAATGTTCACTGAAATCGTTTCCATTATATAGCTCAAAGTAATCGTCACTGAGCGACGTTTGATCGATTATATTTACTGCCTGATGCGTCAACTAGCGCTTCGAGCTTCGATATGATGTGAAACCGGGCAGCTGTACAATAGTTAAGTTTTTATCTTGTCAAAACGTCGTTGTTCTTCCGATGAGCATTGTCCTTATTTGACCACCTCAAATTTTCAAATTACCTGATTAACATAATACTGAAAAAAGCTATTCTATCAAGCCGTTCCCATAACGCCTAGCTAAGAAAGGTGTTGAATAGTACGTGGGTAAATTTATCGCCTTAATTGAACAATGCCCTCCCACTTCCAAATTACAACCACCTAGCACGTTAGTTAAGGGCATTGTGGTCTTGCTGAGATCGTAAAATTTCGGTCATACACTTAACCAATGGAGAATACAATGAAATGTCTTTAGCCAAAAGTAGTACGCATTCAAATATACGGAAATGCATTTTTTTCAGCTTAAATGTTCATGGATAGACAAAATTTATTGCGTAAAACTAAAGGTTTTAATTTTATTCAAAAGGTTAAACACAAATTATTTAAATTATTATATTGTCATCTAGAAGAAAACATAAAATCATTTAACAATAACATGTGATTTCCAAATAGCTCTGTAGGTTTGCGTGTACCCTTCCCAACCGCGAACTTTCATCTACATCTTGTATAAATTTCGTAATCTACAAATCCATTATTCAAAAGGTTAAAAGCAAATTATTTAAATTATTATATTGTCATCTAGAAGAAAACGTAAAATCATTTAACGATATGTAATTTCGGTATTATGTAATATTTCTTCATCTTTTCCCGCAATCAGTTTCCTACTTCGTAGCAATAAAGCTTCTTTTATAGACCTTACAACATTAAAATGGCCATTAAGATAAGAAAAATGGCTCGTATAAAACGTCTAATGACCCTAGCTATCTGACGTTTAATAGCTGACTACAAACAAATATATGTAAAGCGTTGTCGTTTTATTCTTTCGGCTTGTCTGAGAAAGACAGAAAAAAAAAATTTGGTCTTCTTTTTGCCCCACTTTTATGTCAGTCACTTTCGCACCTTAGTCTCCAACAGAATTTCTAAAGCACGTGATTTCCAAATAGTTCTGTAGGTTTGCGTGTACCCTTCCCAACCGCGAACTTTCATTTACATCCTGTATGCATTTCGTTATTTACAAAGTGATAAACCCATCCCATCGCCGCATATCTCATTATATCCTCGTGATCTCGTTATGCTGCAATAGTGACAATTCCAAATACAAATCCGGGTTCCGAACTGAATCATCAGTAAAAAAAAATAGGGAGACGTGCACGTAAATTTCTAGATGATTCGTTCTCGGAAAGCTAGGTATTACTATTTACAACTTGTCAATGTCAGGAAAAGCAAGTTCAAACAATATAATGCATTGGGTATAATTCCTCAAGTGACATTTTACATGTTTGCTGACGCAATGCAGTAATTTATTCACTTTAAGTCTGGCACGTTTTAATTTGGTTCTGAGAAAAACGAAAAGCTTTGACGATAAAGGTAGTTTTTATTGATAAGTTCAGTTCATTGTGAAACGCATAAGAACTATTCTAGCAAATTACCAAAGAAAAGATACGACTGGAAAAAAAAATTAAACTATTTGTATGTGATTTTTCGAGCCTGATAAAATTTAGTTCGTGCTGGGAGAGGTTTTTTTAAATTTTATGTTCGTTTTACAATAATATCATCTTATTACAATAATATCATCTTATTCGTAAATTGTTTTCCCTCGCGTTTAAACGATATATTCTTTCATTTGTTATCACTTAGTTTTCAGATTTTTATTACAAATGAGAAATTTACGAACCGGACATTATTCGCACTTCTGCTCGTTCCGATGCGCTGGGCCAGTTGATAATTTATTTGGGTATTTGTCATTCCTCGCCGGTAGGCAACGATTATCCTGTTCTCCTTGCTTTCCCTCGGGTTGCAATTGTTATTTTGGGGTGATAAAGTAATTGTAATTCTACCATCTAGTCAGTTATACAACGCTTTCGAGTGGAATAACAAGGAATGTCCCAATTGTCAGTTGTATTTTCTTGGTATACACACTCGCCTAAAGCCTGGTTTTCATATGTCGGGAAAATTCCACACGGTCTGGGATTTTACTGTTTCCCGACCGTCCCAGATTTTGCCGACTAATGAAAACTCGAAATCGTAGATATCCCCGATCGTCTGGGATGAACGGGGACAAATCTGGAGATGATCGGGAGCGTTTCTATTTTCCCGACGCGTCCCAGATTTCTGCGATGGTCGGCGATCATTCCCGACAAATGAAAACTCAAATTTGTACCGTCGGGGACGTCGGCGTCCGTCGGCCTAAGCTCCGGCCTGATGGACCACTTGGCCCGTATACAGACTTTACCTTTTTTAACTCCAGACTGGAATAAGACCATAACTCTATTCAGGGTGAACTTTTGTTTGGTCTTCTCGGACCGGGAAAGGGAAAGGCTTTCCCTGTAACTCCGATGTTATTAAAACTCAGTAACAATGAAGGAAATTTGGCTAATATATAGCATGTCCAAAAGTGTTTCCCTTGAAGGTTCAAACATTATTAAAATGATAGCGACATAAAACTGAGAAATGATCTTTTTAGTTCCGCACAGCCGCCATCTTAGATTCGCCATCCCGTTATTTATTCATTTATTTCATTTTATTTATCATTGTCATTGCTTTCTCCAAAAGCACCCAGGCATATCAAGACGTGCAACAAGATTACAATTTTTACTTCATTTATTCAGGCTCACACACAAACAACACACAAATTGCGCTGAAAACAATTACATCTCCAGAGATATATTACATCCTGTTTCATGATCAAAATCACCAAAATTGTCGAGGTGAAAATCGTTAAATACGTTAAAGTTTGCCTGAAAAAAATTAAAAGTGCTGCAAATTAAAACCAAGACAATTCAAAATTTATTAACATGCCTTTCAAAATACGGTTGCGATGATAACATCAAATGGCTTGAACAATGAAATGTCTGAAATTCTACAGGGACTAACTCCTGTTTGATTTAGAGAGATGTTCGTCTTATAGAGGTGTCGGTTCTGAGTTCCTCGATAAGGCTAAGTATAATCTGATTGGTCTTTCAGTCGATGATAACAAAAAAAGTCAAATGTAAGGTTTCAGAAAACATATATTTTAGTGGGATTTACTTCAAACGTCCGATCGTAAAGTGGCGCCAAGCAATGACAGTCATTTGGGGTACACTGATATACTTAAATTATCTCTACATTCAGTCATAATGAAGAAAAGTGTAAAGTGTGACTTAAAAAACACCTTCAAATTAAAACCATTTTGGGTTATAATTAAGACGCCGACCACACTAACGCATTTTTAAAAGTATTCGCTTTCGTCTCAACCAAAACGAAGAAAAATATTTCGCCCGCACTAGCATTTTCTTCTGCTTTTCATCTCTCCGCAATAACAATGGCGGATCTCGAGGAGGCCCGCCCCTCCACCCCCCCCTCTTATTTTTGAGTAAAAAAAGAAGAAATGACAAGCAAAACAAAACCGCCCTCTCCCCCCACCCCTCCCCTCAGCTCAGGTCTGGATCCGCCACGGAATAATACGTTTTCATTCAAAAAGTATACTTTTTATGTGTTTTCGCCTAACGTCCACACTAAAACGCTAATGAAAGAGATAGTATATGTCGATTTTTCGACACAAAAGTCTTCGTATACACCTGCCCACACTAGAAACGGAGCGTCTACAAAACGATACGTTTTCAAAAGACTGCACTTCATTGTCGATAGTTTCTGTTTTCATTAGCGTTTTCCGGCATTTCAGTGCGGACGATAGTGAAAACACGTCAAACAGGGTGAAAGAACGATACAACCTCTACTGACAAATCTTCTGTTTTGTGTTTCTCAGTTCAAAATTCTTTGCGAAATCTCCAAGTCGGGGTGGAATAATCTGCCAGTGAAAGATTCAACGTGCAAAACACTTCAAGGCAATAACCACTGGACGCCTGATTTCTCCCATTCGCCAACAGTAAACAAGTGGGTTTAACAGAGAGTTGAGATAAACAAACGCAGACGTCATGTTCCATGCCAACATCGTACTTGAACTTTTACCCATTACCATGGTAACTATAGCAACAATAAAGTACGGAAGATAGCAGGCAAGCAGAAGGCAAAAGATTAAAATCATGGTGTTTACTGAATTTTTGTATTGCCCAAAACGGAATAGATTTCCGCCATGTTGCTGGGTAACTGAGCATTGTTTTTGGATTTGGCGCTGATGGCGACGCAATCCAGTAGTTACATTAATGTACGAAATCGATGAAATCACAATACAAGTTAAAATTACCACAGCGGCTATCAAGTTAGCAATTTTTGTGCTTATCAGCCACGAAAAAGGCCAAATCAGTCCAAATAACCAAAACGCAGTTAGAAGTAACACAATCCGCTTGAAGGTCACGATTTGATGATACCTCAATCTCATGTTAAACGCATAAAATCTGTCCAAAGAGATTGCAGTCATTGTCAAAAAAGACACCGATCCTAAGCAATAGGCTGCAATGGTGTAGGGACCTTGAATGGCACAGAATGCCTCGATGTTATCGAATGCCGCGGCAAAAGAATACCCTGCAAAAGATGGATAAACAAAGATTCCAATCCCAAGATCCGAGAAAGCCAAACCACACAGCAACGCTTTGGTCGGGGTGTGTAAATTTTGGCATTTTCGAAGAGCGCGCAGAATAAGAATGTTTGCAAAGATCGTGCAGATTGCCAATATGGAACTTGAAATGCCAAGAAATGTAAACAATGATATACTTGTGCTTTTTTCACGTGAAAAAGAGAACCTCTGATGACAGGACATTTTTGGGAGCCAAGATCGTTTGTCCTTAGCACCTATTAATCAGAGTGGACGCAGTCCGCTTGTCATTTTAACTACTGCCATTTGGTACATTTATTATTTAGGGCTATATTTAGGGTTTCTTTAGAACTTGGTTACAGCTGCAACTGCATGAAGCAATTAAATATTCCGAAGTGACAAAACAATAGCACAAAATCAATATTATTTTTTTCACATTTTGCAGGTATTGAAGGGAAATTTTCTGATACGTAACGTGTGCATGACACCTTTTTGCAGGAAAACCATCCAGTGTAATAACAAGCAGTTCATCTGTACATATCTAAAAGAGGCAACTGAGAAAGCTGAATGAGGTTTACACATACATTTTAAATTGATTCATAATAGTAAACTCCAAGAAAAACATGTCGACTTGTTTCTTGCACCGTGCAAAATATGTCGATCTCAGTCCAAATTTGTAAAGATAAGAATTTCGGTAACTTGAATTAAATATCTTACCTCCAAGTTAGCTGGCTTTCTAGTAGGGTGCAGGAAAAAAAAATTGTGTGATTTCTGGAGGCAAATTGTGCGAGAAAATTAAGACTTTGATTGTGCGGGGAATTTTGCGGGATTATTGACGAACCAATGTTCTTGCCAAGTCCTAAGGAAAATCTGCATTGACAATAGTTTAGCCAAATTTATTTCACTAGTTGTACAAATATACTTAGCAGTCTTAGCAATCGCCAATTCTTTTAGGAAACTGTCTGACTGCTAAAGAAAATCATGTTGCGTGACACGAACTGGACGAGTGGCCAAGGAGTTTATCATGGTTCGTTTTGGCTCTCTCGAAAGAGATTATTCGCTCTCCAGAGGAGTTATAACTCTTGAAAAGGGTTTAAGATAGCAACACGGCAAAGATGTTCAGCCGCACAATTCACTCGGATCGCCGCGACCAGTAAACGAACTTCGTGCAATTTCTGCTAGCATGTACAATGTAATCACCATAAGTTGTAAAAAGACCTGGAAAATTCTTTGCAAACAAGTTCTCCATAACTGCGCAGTCAGCTGGGGCGTCGATAAAACCGGAACACGGAACATCCCGGAACATCGAATAATTATAATAATTATGAGAAAAATATGTAAAATAAAATGTTCAAAACTTAAATTAAACAAAAATAAACTGGTATCAGCTCGGAATACAAAAAATAAAACAGAAACATAACAAAAAAGGAAGGAAATAAAAAAAAGAAAGAGAGAAAAATGAAAATGACTGCAATGACTGATTAGAGGACTAATCCATTCCTTCCGTCCCTTATTCCCAGATTTCGTTCTCCATTGAAAACCAAGATGGTGGCATTCGAACTCAAAATATGGGTACACAACTGTCATGTCTTTATTCAATTCGTTACGTCAATTTAAAGATATGCGTATACACCAGGATATACACGATTTCTCATGAAGAAATAGGTTCTCCTTGAGATAGAAATAGAAACTCTTCGGCATCGAGTTTCTTGTCTAAACTAGTTCGGGCTGCTCGAACGCTGATGATTTATTAATAATAACTTGTTTGTTACTCGGGCTTCCGGAAAGGCCGAGTCTGCACTTGATAGGTCAAGCCGGTGGGTCATAGTGCCAAGCGTTCCTAGCGAAAAGCGCGAAAACTGGGGATGATCTAAGTGCAACATGAAGACGGAACAGTGACAAAAGTATGGCTACTGACTTAACAAGCAACTATATGATGCGCAGACGAACACCTCAGATGTTGAAGAAATCAGGGATCAACAAAGGAAACGCAATGAATTACCTGGCATTCATCGTCCGAGTCGTCCATCATTGTGTTGAAAAACAAAGTGCTGTAAAACCACGTGACGCAATTGGCGGGAAAAAAGAGGAGCCTGCACTCATTGTGGTCAGCAGTTGAATGAATACTCGGCGCTCGCTACTCCTCCCCTACCGATTCCGTACCCCCCAAAATATCTATTCATATTTCGAGCTGATACCAGCTTATTTTTTTGTTGTTTTATTTTTGAAAATTTAATGTTACATATTTTCCTCATAATTATTATAATTATTCGATTTTCCGGGATGTTCCATGTTCCTGGTTTTATCGACGGCCAGACAGCTGTGCTTGATTCTTGAAGCAAAATATTTTGAGCTTACAACTTGCGATTGGATTCAGGAGGATACTCACGAAGCAACTTGAATAGTAACTATCTAAGCGGAACTCTCTGATTCTTTTATTTGTTTTTACTGTGTGCAATACGCGTGCTCGTAAAGTACGGTATTTTGACCCAATATGGTCTAAGCTCTTGTAAGCGACCACCTAGGCTTGACATTTTGGATGGTCGCTTACGGGAGGTTCGACTATATTTGAAACTTAGCTAATTCTAGGCGTGACGGTTACGAAAAACTGTCCGGACACCTGAAAGAGAATTCCGCGATCAGTAGTCTGAAGAAGAGCGACTTGCTATGAATTTTAGGCTCTACATAGTTCTCATCAAAAGAGATTTGCTAAAGCAAAGACATGCAAAAATCACTGAAAGATTTGATTCTCGACATTGCGAAGTCATCATAGCGCCATTATCACGAGAAGATAAGGATAAGAAAGCGAATATTTAAGTAGACTAGAGCTTAAAATTTATTAACGCCGTTAACAGACCAGTGAAACGGAGTTTTGTGCCTTAATCGGCCAAATTCATGAGATATTGCTGCCTAAAGCAATGATACGACTTCCGCGCTCAATGTCGCTAGCGTAAAAATCCAGAAAATATATGAAAAACTCTTTAACTATTAGATTATAAACTCAGAGTTGCGTGACAATTAACGAAGACGCAGCCTGATTCAACTTTCACACATATCCATAGAAATCGTCAGCCTTATAATCAAATTCAGTTTTAGTACAAATCTACTATTCTAAATCTTCTTCACAGATACTTAGAAAACGCAAAGAGACGGCCGTCACAGTTGCTTAAACAACCGTATATGTACACTGCCGGGTTGTCCACTACCTACAACAGAATAGATAGTGCATAGCGTAACCAATGCGGAGAGAACGGCATTGGTGATCGAACGCTAGTAGATTTATACTAATTTATATTACAACCGTACTTGTTTTTTTCAGCCAATGGTAACGTTAAGTTTACTTAATCGGGCTACCAGTTGTACAGATCAAACTCTTTTGGACAGGAATAAATAATTCTGGGGTGCAAATAGAGCAGGGTCTGAGATGGAAAGCGTTTATGGGACCCAGCGTAGGGCACCCTACCTTGGCCCACCACTGGTGCCCATAAGATCATGGACCAAATGTTCAGCATGAAACACACTGCAGAGTAATCGCTACTTCGCGTCTAATCTCTCTCATTCTCCAACTGCACACAAGGGGGTTCAGCAGGGAATTTGATTTAATTATCGCAGAAGTGATGTTTAACGCCAACATCGAATAGGAATTTGGCTCTGACATGGTAAATGGCAAAACAGCAAAAAAAGGAAGATAGCAGGCAATTAGAAGGCAAAATACCATTATCATGGTGTTTAGTGTCTGTTTGTATTGATTGATGCTAAAATGACTTCCACCATGATGCTGTAGGTCTGGAATTGTCTGTTGTTCTTGGATTCGACGCTGATGTCGACGTATTCCAATTGTTATTTTGAAGTACGATATCGAAGTTGTAACAACGCAACAGAAAATTAGCAAAGCCGCCACGATCATGGCTATTTTCTCGTTTAGCAGCCACGAAAAAGGCCAGATAAATCCAAATATCCAACACGCAGCCAATAGAAATACAGCCCTCTCGAAGGTAACGAGCTGATGGTATCTCAATCTCGTGGTAAAAGCATAAAATCTATCCAAAGATAGCACTGTCATAGTGAAAAAAGACACAGATGCCAAACAGTACCCTGCAATGGTGTAAGGTCCTCGAATGGCACAGAATGCTTCAATATCGTCAAGTACCGCCGCAAAACAGTACGTTGCAAATAACGGGTAAACAATGATGCCGACTCCAAGATCTGAGAAGGCCAAGCTGCAAAATAGCACTTTAGTTGGAGCGTGTAAGGTTTGGCATTTACGAAGTGCGTGCAGAATTAGCAAGTTCCCAAATACTGTAAAGACTGCAAAAACAATGCTTGAAATGCCTAGAACTGTATACGCAGCAATGGTCGTAGAGGTTTCACGAAACTGGGAGAACCTTTCGTGACAGTTCATTCTTGTCAACCGGGTCGACCTCACCTGCACGGTAATCGCGTTTTCATCGGTGAGAAGCCCATTCCTGACCTTTGCCTTTGAGACTGAATTGGTCTTGATTATGTAAACCTGTCGGCAGCTGCGAGGGCAAGGAAATTGAACAAGAATTACGACTAAAAGTCGATACTGTCATTGTGACATTACAAGTGTCTACGTCCCTGGTAGCTTCACCTAATAATTTTACTAGTCTCACCACTAGCTTTTTTTTTAGTTTCACTTAATCAGTTTATAAACCGGCAGAACGAGTTCTCCAACTTGTCATAGTTATAAAGCAACACAAAACAAAACTTCATAAAAAGATATTTTCACCTTCGACTTGGCTTGGAACGACTTTGATGCTTCTAATTGACCTTTTTTAGACAAATTATCTTTCTACAAAAGACATAAATCACGAACAATTTTTGCTCTAAGGACTAAAAGTGTTTTACGGAAAATTGCGTGAAAGCAGCAGGGTAATTTTTTAACATACTGTTTTTAGTGCTTTTGCTAGCCGAATTTAATTGGATTGCAAATGTTTTTTCAGACTGCGTGCGGAAATTGGCCGAGAGTAATTAAATCTTTTCATTGAGAGGGTTCCTTATTTGCAAGACAATAAAAGCATGGAAGAATCAAGAGAAGATTTGACTTCTTACATCACGAAAATCCCCCACTTTGGGGGGCATTTGGTACATTCGAAATAGCCTTGCTTTCCGAGATAATTTTAAAAATCGATAAAAAGACATATCCCTGGGCTACCTTCGCACCGGTGTAATATTTTTTCCAGTGCCATCTTACCACATTTGAATATGAATTGTTAAACTATTACAAAACACCTGCCCCTTTAAGGTGAGATTCAAGAAAAGGTAAATTGAAAAAAGGTACCATTGAAAATTATCATTGCAATTGTTTCCGGATTATTTTACTTATTTGTACAACTGGGACCAGTACTATAGGTTGCGAATTACGAACAGTCACAAATTGCGTTGCACAATGTGCAAAAACCTGAAATAATGACCGTAATATCTACACTGAGAATAGGTGGCAAGATCTTTGCTCCTCCTTTTAATGTTTCACTGACTATAGTAGGGCGTGTCTAATGAAATGTCAAGTTGTCAACCAAAACACGCAATGTGAGGAGTTTCGGCATAGATGACTTCCTGGCTGAGGTCATCCAATTATTTTGCCGAGTAGTTTGTCGTGAGGTTGAGTTAAATTTGCCTATCTCTACCTCAGGGTCGGATTTAGTGGAGAATGGATCGGGCGTCTAACCACCCCAGTTATGAAAAAGCAAAAATAAAAAATTGAAATAAATATAGTAGAAATGAAGGGAAACACTGTGGACAGTTACCTCAATGTTATTTCTAATTGTGGTATTGTTAGTATTTCTGGTGTAACAGTTTTAAATTAGTTTCCAATTCTCAAATTGAACCATTTTTGGGGCATGCCCATTAATTCCACAGCCCAAAGGTACCATCCACCCACAATCCGCCCTTACTACCTGCTAGAAGTTTTTTTCAGGGAACTTACTGGGGTGTGGGAAAAGTTCAGACATGTTTCTCCTGGGGTGATGATAACAAATATAGCTTTAACAACAACTGGTAAATCGCTTTAGAAATGTTTATCTGTTGTTTATTACAAAATTAATTTTCTTATTCGAATGGATATATTTTTTCAAATTGCACTCTCTCATTGCTATTTCTTCTCTTCACTCAATATCAAGCCAAGAATTCATTATCTTTCCTTTTGTGATTGTTACGCGGTTTAACGACGTAGAAATCCAACATTTCGATCCAGTCTAGATGTTTTTTAAATGAATTCTATAAGTTTAATCTAATTTAACCTAAATTACAGTTAATGTAATTTGGTATGTGGCGACCAATACAGCGGGATTGAAGGGGCCAATTTACCCTTCCTCCATGCCTAATACTAATACATTCTCTATTAATAATAATCACCCCGTACGATTACAGTCTTACAAAATTCCAAACAGCCCGTTTCTCGACTGAAGGTCCCGAAAAGTTTTCGAATCCGGAAAGCCGCAACAAAATCTCAAACCTTATGATTACAGAGCTGTTTTATTCACACATTCTCAATATCAACAGAGGTTCCCTTCACACAAGAACTTTCAGGCGTGTACACCTGTCGGTTTTTAGGTACAGAGAAACTAAAAATGGCTTTATGGGCCCGAAAAGCTTCCGGGGTTTTAGAGAAAAGGGCCCCAGGCGCCATGTGTGGGTTAAGTTTGTTGTTGGTTCTCGCCTTGCTCTGAGGGTTTTTCTCCGGGTACTGTGGTTTTCCGGTTTTCCTCCCCCCTGAAAAACCAACATTTCCAAATCCCAATTCGATCAGGATAGAGGACCTGCATNCAACATTTCCACATTTCGATTCGACCAGGATAGAGGACCCGCATGAAAACCAGGTAAGACTGATGTGGCTTCCTCTCTAAATACTAATGAAGAGATTTAGCCAAGCCTAAAAGCGGAACTCCTGGGCGGGGTTGTTCAAAGCCCGATTAAGCTAACCCAAGATAAGCGAGAATTTTCATTTGAGTTTTGTAACTTCGAAATTCGCGGTGAAGTTTTCTGTATAGTGTTTGAATAATCTAAAAATACACTAAACAAAAGAACTGAAAAATATTTGTCTACAAGAAAAATTTATACTTCGGTTAACTTTTAATCATCGGTTAGCATTAACCGGCTTCCGAACAAGTTACAACAAGTTAACCTGACATGAGCCCGCAGTCCAATCGAAAACCAGCACTTGGTTAGCTGTGAGCTTCAAAAATCCACGTGACCTCGATGAGCTCTAAACTTGAGCCCGCAATATGGTCACGTAATACTGGTCAGCGGTAACCTTTTTTGACAGGTGTCAATTGACCATAACGGTGGATGTCCAATATCAAAGAAGGACGTTATAAACCAAGGCTGAATGTCTCTTTTAACCAGTTAGCTGGAGTATGGCCGCCGTCTTGGGCAACTCCGTCGTCGCCGCGGTCGTGCGTACGCCGCCCACGAGCAATACAGTTAGCCATGATAACCATGAGAAAATCAGTTCATGGGTTTCCTTTTCTTTCCTATATGAGTATGGGGCTCCGCTTGGTGGCCCTTCGGGCCGCCGGAGCTCCGCTATGATTTATTTTTCTTTATTATTATTTTTAAGCTTGCACTCGGCATGTTTTGACTTCTTTGTTCAAAATTTGATACAACCGATATTTTTTGCGAGCTATTGAGAAAAGGAAAAGCTTTCATGATCAAATCACACCTTTACAACGCATAAATCTAACAAAGCACGAAAGAGACGTGAGCACTTGACGCCTGATTTCCCTCATTCTCAGGCAGTACGCAAGCGGGTTCAACAAAGACTTGAAATAAATAAACGCCTTGGTGATGTTCAACGCCAGCATTTTGTTCGAGTTTGCCCCTATTCCCATGGTAGCAGCTGCAGCAATAAAGAATGGAAGATAACACGCAATCTGAAGCCAAAATAACAAAATCATGGTGTTCAGCGACCTTTTGTATCGACCAATACGGAGGAGACTTCCGCCATGATGCTGTGATGCCGAGGTTGCCTTTAGTTCCTGGATTTGTCGCTGATGGCGACGTATCCCAATAATTACTTTGATGTAACATATCGATGTCATCACAATGCAAAAAAAAATGAGTACAGCACCCAGAATGCGGGTACCCGTTTCGCTGAGTAGCCATAAGAAAGGCATAGTAAAGCCGACGATCCAACACCCGCCCATTGCAAGCACGACCCTTTTGAAGGTAACAATCCGGTGGTACCTTAACCTCAAAGTAAATGCGTAATATTTGTCCAAAGAGATTGCCGTCATTGTATACAAAGACACCGATCCCATGATATAAGCTGCAATTACGTACGGATCAAGAACAGCACAGAATGCTCGGATGTTGTTGAGTACCACAGCAAACCAGTGAGCCGCAAACAGCGGGTATACAACGATTCCCACTCCCAGATCTGAGAAGGCTAAGTTGCACAGTAACGCTTTGGTTGGGGCGTGCAACGTCTGACATTTACGTATCGCGCACAAAATAAGCAAATTCCCAACGACTGTTAAGAGTGCCAGTACAACACTTGAAATGCCTAGAAACGTATACATCGCAACAGCGGTAGATGTTTCACGAAACTGCGGAAATATTACATAACAAAACATTTCTCAGTTTTAACGAGGTCGATTGCAGTCTGGCACCTGGCTGTACAATTGTGTTAACGTGGTGTCATCGCTTTGTAGTTCAACAATCGCAATCGCCTCCGTAAAATCCTGTTTTGTGTAAACTTATAGTTCCAGCTGCACAATAAATTTGAACAAAGATTTCAATTCATGTCCAGCATTTCGATGTCTCATGAATATCAATTATATTAGTGGCAGCAGTAAGATGAAATTCTGAAGCTTTACCTCTAGTTCATGCCACAACTGAAAATAAAGATTAATTCACGGAAAATTTATATTTATGATCTTTATATCAGTCGCCAAGGAGTTCCAGAATTAGAAAACCAACTAGCAAGGGCAATGAGAGAGCGTAGACTCTAATACACCTCAACGAGTGAAAAATAAAACAAAATTGTAGCAAAGCAATTTGCAAGGTGTGTGTTGTTTACTTTATTGATATTGAGATCTCTTTCGAGCCACGATTTTGAACATGCTAAAGTAAATAAAAATGACTTGAGAAAAAAGGAATTGAAGTGTCTGCTTACAGAGGGAGGAGAATTACTTATAAGCTCAATCACTCAGACGCATCAAAATCAGATCACGTTTTTTACACAACCTGATCTGAGTCAATGCGAAAGGTCCTGACTGTACTGTTCAACTCTGTCTCCGCAAGGGCGGGACTCGACCAATTTTAAGGTCGGCATTTGCAACAAATTTGAGTTTGCGTATCTTGAAGAAATAAAAGTGGTGGAACGATATATTTGAAATTTTCCCTGAATGTTCCCTACCAAGCACGTTTCGATAAATACAATAAAAAAGATAGGTCGTTATTTTCGCCAAAGAGATATCATGGGCCAATCTGGAAAGAATGAATGAACTTTATTTAAGTGTCTGCTACTCTGATTGGGCCTTTTGATTTGCGACATTCGATCGTTTGTGTTCCTGAGGAAGAAGAGCACAAACTCTACCTTTTCACCAGGACAACCTACAACACCAAGTGAATTATATGTTTAATCTGATGGAGTTCAGTTTCGGTTTGGTTTGTAGCCGCCATTTTTCGCTGCAGGTACAATAGGAAGACTAGGAATCCGGCTAGCAACAACTGAAAGAAAAATTTGCCGATTGAAAATGATAAATGACGTTAAAGCCATCTGAAATGGTAATAATAATGCGTTACATTGACGATCGTGAAGAGCGACGGCGAGCACGGAGCTCAATAGAAAGAAAAGAAAAACAGGGCCGCCGGAGCTTCGCTATAATTTCTGTAATTTTGTTAGACCAACGTTTTGGAAACTAGGAAAATGTTCAAAAAATAGCTTAAAATCTGTCGTAAATTTTTTCTCGTTATACTATTAACCCTTTTAAATCGCATGTGAAATTTTATCATGGATTTGCGGAAGATTTTCGAGAAATCTTCAGGCAAAAGAGTGAATTATCACACCGGAAGTCGAACCCGGTTCTGGTACATGACG